TGGTGCCAGGGCCAGCGATGGGGGTGTCTGCACCAAGCCACGCGTACAATGTGATGTGGGGCCTTTGTGCCTGGTTCTCGGGAGAGTTTGTGACATACTAGATATCCATCTAACGAACCCTTTTTTATTTAGTTGGAGCTGGTTCTTGCTGCTTGGAACCAGAAACTGGAAAAGCATGACACAACAAAGCTAAGTGGGTGGCATTGAGGGTCTACTGCTCTGGAGAAGGGAGGATTTCGTTTGTTTACATCTGTTTTGTGCAGCTACAATCCAGAAGGGCTGGTGACCAGGTCATTGTGGGGTCCAGAACTCTTGGCAGAGGTGGTTGAAGGCTCTGGGAGAGGGAGGGATGAGCTGACTGCACTGTTCTAGGGAGACCAGCCATGGTTTAGGCCCCAAGGGCCTCTCTTGGAAGGCTGAGGTGGGAGGATTGCTTGAGACCAGGAGTTCGAGACCAGCCTGGGCAACATAGCAAGACCTCATCTCTACAAAAAAATTTTAAAAATTAGCGTACATGTTGGCTTGCGCCTATAGTCAAAGTTACTTGAGAGGCTGAGGCAGGAGGATTGCCTGAGGCCAGGAGGTTGAGACCAGCCTGGGCAACATAGTAAGACCTCATCTCTACAAAAAAATTTTTTATTAGTTGTACATGTTGGCTTGTGCCTATAGTCAAAGCTACTTGAGAGACTGGGCAGGAGGATTGCTTGAGGCCAGGAGTTCAAGACTAGCCTAGGCAACATAGTGAGACGCCATCTGTACAAAAAAATTAAAAGTTAATGGTGCATGATGGTGTATGCCATGGTCCCAGCTACTCCAGAGGCTGAGGTGGAAGGATCACTTGCGCCCAGGAGGCCAAGGCTACAGTGAGCCGTGATCCTACCACTGCACTCCAGCAGGGTCCACAGAGCAAGACTGTGTCTCTCTAAAAAAAGAAGAAAGGCTGGGCGCGGTGGCTCAAGCCTGTAATCCCAGCACTTTGGAAGGCCGAGGCGGGTGGATCACCTGAAGTCAGGAGTTCAAGACCAGCCTGGCCAACATGGTGAAACCCTGTCTCTACTAAAAATACAAACATTTGCTGGGCATGGTGACAGGCGCCTGTAGTCCCAGCTACTCGGGAGGCTGAGGCAGGAGAACGGTGTGAACCCGGGAGGCGGAGCTTGCAGTGAGCTGAGATCCGGCCACTGCACTCCAGCCTGGGGGACAGAGTGAGACTCCGTCTCAAAAAAAAAAGAAGAAAAAGAAAAAAAAAAAAAGGCGTAGTGATTCAAGCCTGTAATCCCAGCACTTTGGAAGGCCGAGGCGGGTGGATCACCTGAAGTCAGGAGTTCAAGACCAGCCTGGCCAACATGGTGAAACCCTGTCTCTACAAAAATACAAACATTTGCTGGGCATGATGGCAGGTGCCTGTAATCCCAGCTACCTGGGAGGCTGAGGCGGGATAATTGCTTGAACCCGGGAGGCAGAGGTTGCAGTGAGTTGAGATGGCGCCACTGCACTCCATCCTGGGCAACAAGAGCGAGACTCCATCTCAAAAAAAAAAAAGAAAGAAAAAAAGAAAAAAGAAAAAGGATTATAAGACCGATAACGAGTGGGCTACCAGGTCCGGGAGAGCTGACATTCTCCTGAATGTTGGTGGCCCTGTACTCGCAAATAGCCACCACCTTGAGAAATGTGGCAAATCCAATGGACTTTCTGCATGCACATGTCGTCTGGCCTGGAGATTCCATTTCTAGGAATTTATTATCAGCTGCATTTGCTCCCATGCAAAATGTATGAGCCATGCAGTTGTCAAGTAAAAGCAAATGATGGCAACCATCGGCCTGTCCACTAACAGGGAACCCAGACCTGTTGAAGAGAGGTGGTATGTTTGCCCAATGGCAGAGAGAATGAACATGCTTGCTTGCTTGCTTTCTCTCTCTTTTTTTTTTTGAGACAGGGTCTAGCTCTGTTGCACAGGCTGGAGTGAAGTGGCACGATCTTGGCTCACTGTAACCTCTGCCTCCCGGGTTCAAGCGATTCTCCTGCCTCAGCCTCCCGAGTAGCTGGGACTACAGGCGCCTGCCACCACGCCCAGCTAATTTTTTGTGTTTTTAGTAGAGACGGGGTTTCAGCATGTTGGCCAGGTTGGTCTCAAACTCCTGACCTCAGGCGATCTGCCCGCTTCAGTCTCTCAAAGTTTTTTGTTTTTTAAAAATCTTTTAAAAGACACATTTTCGGCCGGGCACAGTGGCTCACACCTGTAATCCCAGCATTTTGGGAGGCTGAGGTGGGTGGATTATGTGAGGTCAGGAGTTCAAGACCAGCCTGGCTGACATGGTGAAACCCTGTCTCTACTAAAAATACAAAAATTAGTCGGGTGTGCCAGGCGCCGTGGCTCAAGCTTGTAATCCCAGCACTTTGGGATGCTGAGGTGGGCGGATCACCTGAGGTCGGGAGTTCCAGGCCAGCCTGACCAATGTTGAGAAACCCCATCTCTACTAAAAATACAAAATTAGCCGGGCGTGGTGGCACATGCCTGTAATTCCAGCTACTGGGGAAGCTGAGGCAGAAGAATTGCTTGAACCTGGGAGGGGGAGGTTGCAGTGAGCTGAGATCGCACCATTACACTCCACCCTGGGTAACAAGAGCAAAAACTCCGTCTCAAAAAAAAAAAAAAAAGTCGGTATGGTGGTGGGTGCCTGTAATCCCAGCTACTCAGGAGGCTGAGGCAGGAGAATCACTTGAACCGGGGAGGCAGAGGTTGCAGTGAGCTAAAGATCGCACCACTGCACTCCAGCCCGGACAACAGAGTGAGACTCCATCTCAAAAAATAAATAAATAAATAAATAAATAAATAAATAAATAAATAAATAAATAAAAGACAAATTCTCCCTCAGCCGCCAAAATGACTCACAAGGAACTAAGAACACTAGATGCCTGTGGGGGAGAATCTGTGTGGCTGGGTGAGACTTGCGAGACTTACTTTTCTTTTCTTTCTTTCTTTCTTTTTTTTTTTTTTTGAGACAGAGTTTCGCTCTTGTTGCCCAGGCTGGAGTACAATGGCACGATCTCGGCTCACCACAACCTTTACCTCCCAGGTTCAAGCGATTCTCCTGCCTCAGCCTCCCTAGTAGCTGGGATCACAGGTGCCCGCTACCACGTCCAGCTAATTTTTTTGTATTTTTAGTAGAGACGGGGTTTCACTATGTTGGTCAGGCTGGTCTCGAACTCCTGACCTCAGGTAATCCACCCGCCTCAGCCTCCCGAAGTGCTGGGATTATGGGTGTGAGCCACCGCACCTGGCTACAGATTTACTTTTCATTGTAATGATTGCAAACTCTATTTTTTGAATTTGATCAAATGTGCCTGTACCATACAAATAATAAAATAGGAAAAGAAAACAATATAACAGAAACTAGAATCTGTGTTAGACACACCCCCCCACACACACAAATATATCCTGTGTACTTTGTTTTTTGAGACAGAGTCTCACTCCTTTACTCAGGCTGGAGTACAGTGGCTCGATCTCAGCTCATTGCAACCTCCCACTCCCAGGTTCAAGCGATTCTCCTGCCTCAGCCTCCCGAGTCACTGGGATTACAGGCACCCACCACCATGCCCAGCTGATTTTTGTATTTTTAGTTGAGATAGGGTTTGGCCGTGTTGGCCAGGTTGGTCTCCAACTCCTGACCTCAGGTGATCTGCCCACCTCAGCCTCCCAAAGTGCTGGGATTGATTACAAGCCTGAGCCAGCACATTTGGCTAATACCTCTTCAATTTGATAACGTGTGCATGTACCATACAAGTAACAAAATAGGAAAACAACGTAACAGAAACTAGAATCTGTGCTAGACAACCCCTCCCCCGCCCCACATTATCTCCTGTGTACTTTAGGCAGGTGTTTCTGCTCTCAGCACCTCTTTGCAGTCAATGAAACTGAACCAGCTCACAGAAGCTCAGGAAGCTGCCCAGGGTCACCCAGCAAGGGAGAGAGTGGTGAAGCTGAGTCCCGACCCAACTCTGTGGTCATGCTTGCGACAATGCCCTTAGGAGAGCCAGCTCCCCAGGGCCAGTCCCTGCCGTGCAGGACCCCAAGACTGAACCATGAAGATGGATAATTCCAGAAACTCCGCTCTGGACAGAATCTGTGAGAAGGATCTCGCCCCAGTGGAACGACCTGCCATCAGGGAGTACTTGGGAGGCCAAGCCTGGCAAGCCTGGCCCCGGTGCTACCTGTGTGACCTCCTGACCTCCAACAGGAAATCTTCCCACTGTGAACCTCATCCAGGTTCCCACTGCGGGGACGCAGGAGGAGTAAATCAGGTGACAATTGAGAAAGCAGCTTCTCCCAAGCAGGTGCACAAAAAATCAAAACAAAAACAGGTCTCTCAAACCCAAATGCCAGTTTCCAAAACCTCTGAGCTGCCCGGGCTCTCTCTGTCGCCTTCTGGGTCCAGGTGGTTGTGATAGAAACACTCCTGTTTGCTGTTTGTTACATTCGTCAGAACGCTCATTCATTCAACTCACATCCACGCAGGGCCTTCCACCCGCCAGACTCCGGTGGTCCCGGCGCGGTGGGAACGTGTCCCCCCCTTGCACGCGCTCCCCCCTCAAGGTCCGCGTGTCCCCAGCTTACAGTCAAGAGTCACCCCCCATCCCCCGGTGTTCGGTGCTCCTCGGTACTCGTGCTCGGACCACACCCGCCGCCCACACGCACCCGCGGCCCAGACCACGCAGCCCGGATTCCCCACCCGCGCCTCCAGGGGCGCCCCGCTGGAGCCACCGCGCGGGCAGTGCCCGCAGCCCGGCGAGCGTCAGCGCCTCCGCACAGGCCCCGCCCCTCACACCCCAGACGGCCAATGAGCGCCGCGGCCCCGGCAGGCCCCGCCCCGCTCCGGGGAATCCCGGTCGCGGATTGGCCGGCCCGGGAGCAGTGTACCCGCACATGGGGCGGGGGTGGGGTGAGCGGAGTGGCAGCGAAGCCCCGCCCCCGCCGCCCTCCCCGGCCCGCCCCCCGCGGAGCCCAGTTCAGCGCCCGCCGCCCGCCACCCCGGACCCCGGTGTCTGGCTCCCTACGAGCCGGGACCCCGCGATGGCCAAGCGCAGCTCGCTGTACATCCGCATCGTGGAGGGGAAGAACCTGCCCGCCAAGGACATGTGAGCGCGGCCAGGGGTGGGAGCCCCAACTTTCCGGGGAGGGGCACTGCCCCCCAGGACGCCTGACCTTTCCGGGGTCCACCCACAAGTAGAGCAGTGGAGAGGGTGCGGGAGTGCGGCCGCGGTGGGGGATCGGCGGGGAAAATGGGGACAGTGACATTTGCTGTGAGCACCAGACGGGGTGACAACCGAGGGGGGGCGGGAAAAGTGTCACCGAGGGCTGGGGGGCTGGGAACTAGGGAGGGGGGCGAGAATTTGTCAGCGATCCGCGGCTCACGAGGGGAAGGGGCTTTGATAGGACAGGAGCTGGAGCTGGGTGATGTGCCAGGGGAGACGTCTTGGTGATCTGCCCCTGGGGTGTGTTTGGAGGGGTGGGGTGTCCCCCTGCAAAGGAAGGGTCTTGATCAGTAGTTCCAGAGCCCTTAATGCCCCTGAGTGTGCACCTGAAGCACATGCTGAGGCCCAGGGGCTGTCCCCAGGCTTCCTGCTGTGCACTTGGGTAGGAGGGACTGGCATGAAAAGTGAGAACAGGTCAGGAGGACAGGACAGGTGCAGGACTGCGGGGGAGGGAAGCAGAGTAGTAACTGTCTCTTGTGCCTTGGGCTTTACACCTGAGCCATCCCGTTAATCCTCGCAACCACCCAGAAAGGCGGTTCTCACCGTTCCATTTTACAGATGAGAAAACTGAGGATCAGAGACGTGAAATACTGGCTCCAAGTGGCAGGCAGAGCAGGGTCTTGAGTCTAGGGCTTCTAACAGGCACTGACATCTGGGGATTCCCCTGGTCTCTGGCTCGATTTGGGGAGGTTTCAGGGGCCCCTCGTCCCACTCTTCTCAGTAGGTCCCAGGGCTGAGCTGCCTGACCCCTGGTCCCCCATCTTGGTCTTGCCACCACCTTCCTCATGTGCAGGGTTTCGGCAGCTCCCTGCTCCTCAAGCCTCAGTTTCCCCTCTTTAAACTAGGGGTTGAAATCCCTCTAGAGGAAGAGGAGGAAAGCTCAAAGGTCGAGGGGCACTGGCTGCCTGGAGGAGGAGGGTGGGAGGGGAGAAGGGGAGCCTGGAGGAAACAGAGTCCAAAGTCTGCGGGGCTGCAGTTCCCCACCCCTGGGGCTCCTCCTCGGGGCGCCCCGGGCTCCTGGATGCAGAGAAGTGGTCAGCGTGGGCGAGGGGGTGGGGCGGGGTGTGAGGCAGGCACTCTGCTCACACATATGTATGGTGGCCCCTGCGAGCTTCCCAGCACGCTCAGCGCGCCACCACTGAGAGCAGCGCCAGTTCCAGGCCCCCTGGGTCTGATGAGGCCCAGCTCAGCAGTTACCATGACAATGGGGAAGGGAGGGCGGTGGGCAGCCCTAGGTGGGTTTCTGTGCTTGGAGGCTTGGAGGGAGATGGAGTGGGAGCTGCCAGTGAGGTGTGTGGGCTGGGAAGGCAGAAGACCTCTGAAAAGGGTCTCAGCCTCCAGGCCCAGCCTTTAAGCACCCTCCACCCCCTGCCACCACTGGCACTAGGAACTAGGTCATCTTGGCCTCTTCTGGCTGGTGACGGCTGGGAGGAGCAGCCCCTCCGTCTGTCGCCTCCCTCCTCATCCCCACAGCAGCTGGCCCTAGTGCCTGGCTCCAGGCTCTCTCCAGCCCAGGGCAGCGGAGCTCTTCTGGTATGCCCACCTGGGAGCTCAGTGCCTGGTTCCCTGCCCAGTGCTTTGCCTCTGAGCAAAGGGGCTCCGTCTACAGTGGAGGGTGCCTTGAAATCTCGCTCCTCACCCTGTCCCCCTGCCTGCCCTACTCACGTCTCCTTTGCAATCCCCCTATCTTCCCCTGTGGCTGGCATACACAACTCTGACCTATCAGCCACCTCTTAAACCATCCCATAAACAGTCCCTCACATTTGGGTTACTACCCTTCACATCTCTGCCTTCGCCCATGTGTGGGGACTTCTGTCTTCAAGCACTCCCATTCAGTCCTCCAGAAAACTCCCATTCATCCTTCAGGACCCCTCTCAAACTTCTCCTCTCCAGGGCATTCTCTGGTGTCCTTGGGCAGAGTTCCTGGCTCCTGGTCTCGCCCCCCAGCACTTTGGGTGGCAGGAGGAAGCCCCTGGTGTGGCAGGGACTGTGAGGGCAGGGACGGTGACTCATTAATCCTGGCACCAGGTCCATAGTAGGGGAGAATAAGAGGTGTTGAGGACTTCCCCTATTAGTCCTCATCTTAGCTTTATAAGGTAGACATCCTCAGTTTGCACATTGGGAAACTGAGGCTCAGGAAGTGAAAGTCATTTGCCAAGTTGATACAGAGGGTAGGTAGAGAAGTCAGGATTCAGATTGCCTTTGTCTACTGCCAACAGGCTGAAAATCCTAGCCTGCCCACGGCTGCAAGCTTGCGGCTGGGCTCGGTGAGACTGAGCCTCGGAAATCCTATGCAAAGCATTTGGCTGCAGAGTCGGGCAGGGGTTTGGAGATCATGGGAGGCCCTTACTGAGTACTGGAGTTTCCCTGTGCCTCACCAGTGCCCCGCCTGTCTTCTGAGTGGCATCCTCTCCAGCCAGGGCTTGCATACTTCTGAGGATGGGGAGCTCACCACCTCTCATAGTGGCTGATCTTGACTGAGTCAGTTCCAAGGAGGGAACGGTCCTCACACAGCTGCCAGCTGCCTTCCTGCCACTTCTGCTCATGGGTTTTTGTTCCTCTAAAGGGCACAGAGCACAGCTGCATTCTCCATCACTGCTAGCTTTCAGAGCCTGCCTGTTCCTGCCCTGCCTCTTCCCACTGTCTCCCATCCCCGAGTACCTAGGCATGAGCCAAGTCTCACGATGACCAGTGACCCACTGCCTCCCACACCAAGTGGCCTTGGGGACTGGCCCAAGGCTATTTCAGGGTTTTCCCTGATCCTCCTCCCTCCACAGCCTAGAAACTGCCAAGGCCCTAAATATAGAGGACCCAAAAGTAGCCAGACAAGGCCAGTGGCGACTGGCTTGGGGAAGGAGAAATGAGAGAGGTGGGCAGCCTAGGGGCCTCACTAGCGAAGAAGGAACTGGGCATGGGTTCCAGCAACCCACTGGGGACCATGGTTGGGCCCAGGTCCTTAAATCTGGCCTCGGCCTGCTCTCAATACCGTCCTCTTGCCCCCGCCCTCTGATGCAGCCACCCAGCTCTTCACAGTCCTTGCACACTGGGGTTTGGGTCCTGCTTCCAGGCCTTTGGAAGCAGTAGCAGCTCAGTAGTGGGGGACAGCCCAGGGAGGTCCCCTGTTGCCTCAGCCAGGACTGACCTCTCTCTGCCTCCTCTGAGCTCCTTGTATGGCTCCTGGATCCTGCAGCCCAGCCCAGCACCTGGGGTGCCCAGGGGCCTGATTGCTTAGCACCTGGAGTCCCCTGGCTTTGGGTTGATGGGACACAAGCTGGGGTATTCACAGGGGGCTCTCTGGAGGGGGCTTATTTTATTTTATTTTTTTATTTTATTATTTTTGAGACAGAGTCTTGCTCTGTTGCCCAGGCTGGAGTGCAGCAGCGCGATCTTGGCTCACTGCAACCTCCTTCTCCGGGGTTCAAGGGATTCTCCCGCCTCAGCCTCCCCAGTAGCTGGGATTACAGGTGCACACCACCACACTCGGCTAATTTTTGTATTTTTAGTAGAGACGGGGTTTCACCCTGTTGGCCAGGTTGGTCTCGAACTCCTGGCCTCACGTGATCTGCCTGCCTCGGCCTCCCAAAGTGCTGGGATTACAGGTGTGAGCCACCACGCCCGGCCAGGAGGAGGGGACTCTCGAATGATGGCAGGGGGAGGTTACAGGCACAGTTGCAGGCAGTGCTAACATGTACTGAGCACCTCCAAGACCTTCTCATATCATCTCAGGACCCAGGGAAGCTCCCTTGTGAGCCGGGATTACACTTCCCACTTTATAGGTAGAAAACTGAGTCTTGGTAGACATTTCCTGTCTGTGTCCAGGAGCTTCTGGAGCTGTCTGCCCCAAGTGCCTTCCTCTGCCGGAAGAGCCCCTTTTGAGAAGGGAAGCAGAGGTTGGAATTCCCCACCCTCCACCATAGAAACACACTTCCTTTTTATGGACACTCAGTGGAGGAACAGCTCTAGAGACAGCCTTCACTCCCCCACTTTACCCAGTACCAGCCTTAGGCCTGGCTGCAGGTCTCTCCCAGCTCCAGGAGGCCCCCAACACCTGAGACCCTTGGAACTGAGCGCAGGTTTGCATTCCCCCATCCCTCTTTCCCCAGATAGCTGTTATTCATTCATTCGCCATCAGTTCATTCATTTGTCAGTTCATTCGGCAAACACTCACTGGCTGCCTGTCTTGTGCCAAGCCCTGTAGGGTCCCTAGGGACATAGGCATGCTCCCCGCCCCCAGGCAGCTCAGAGCAGGTGGGAGGCAGCTGATCACTACCAGGCTGGATGAAGTGGGCAAGGAGTGTGAGTCCAGGGACGCCTTCCGCGCCATCCCACCCTGGGGCAAGGGAGGGCTCTGGCAGGGCTGAAGGCAGACTGGGCAGAAGGGACAGCAGGAGCAAAGGCTCCAGGGAGATTAAGGGGCTAGACTTTGGTGTAGAGGGTAGGGGTCCCAGGAGCTTGCCTGGAGCTGTTGCTTGGAGCTGTTTTGGGGGGAGGCAGGGATGGGGTAGGAGGGCATAGAAAGGAGGAACATTCTATCCCCTGCGGGAGGAACAGCAGGTTTCCAGTAACCCCTCCCTCTGTCCCTCTCCCTCCCCTCCCTGTCTCTCCCCTCTCCCTCTCCCTCCCTCCCTCAGTCTCCCCCTCCCTCTTAACTCCCTCCCTTTTAACTCCCTCCCTCTTCCTCTCCTCCCTCTCTCCCCTTCCCTGTCACCCCCTCACTCAGTCACCCCCTCACTCAGTCTCCCCCTCCCTCTTACTCTCCTCCCCCTTACTCTCCTTCCTCTTACTCTCCTCCCTCTCTCCCCCTCCCTCCCTCACTCACTCTCTCCTCCTCGCTCTTCCCTGCCCCCGTCCCTCTCTCTCCTCCCTCTCAGCCCCCTCCCTCTGTCTCCCTACCTCTCTCCCCCTCCCTCTCACTTTCCTCCCTCTCTCCCCCTCCCTCTCACCCCTTCCCTCTCACCCCCTAACTCAGTCTCCCCCTCCCTCTTAACTCCCTCCCTCTTACTCTCCTCCCTCTTTCTCCCCCTCCCTATCACCCGCCTTCCCTCCCGCTTCCCTCTCTCTCCTCCTCGCTCTTCCCTGCCCCCGTCCCTCTCTCTCCTCCCTCTCAGCCCCCTCCCTCTGTCTCCTCTTCCCTCTTTCTCACCTCCCTGTCCATCCCCTTCCCTCTCTGCCCCTCCCTCTGCCCCTCTCCCAGTCCCTCCCCGCCCTCCTTTCTTCTCCTTTCTGGCTCTACCCATCCCTGTCTCTTCCCTCTCCTTCTCCCTCCCCCACAACTCTCCCCCCATCTACTCCCACCCCTGCCCGCGAAAGGGGAGCCCTGCCGCGGGTTCCTGCCCTTCCCTCACCATCCGCTCCCGGGCTGAGGGCGGGGACCTGTGTTTGGCCCGAGGAGCCTGCGGTCTCCTAACCAGGATGCGAAGACTCAGGCTCCGCTCTCTTCCCCGCGCTCCTCCCGAGGGGCCGGAGAAGAGGGAGGAGCGTGCCGCGAGGCCCCGCCCCGCCCCTGCCCTCCAGCCCCGCCCCTGCCCTTCTGTCTTGCAGCAACGGCAGCAGCGACCCTTACTGCATCGTGAAGGTGGACAATGAGCCCATCATCAGGTACCGCCCCCACTCCCAGGACCCAGGGGCGCTCAGCCCCTCACGGACCTGCACTCTCCCCGCAAAGGGGTGTGAATTTTGTTGTGAATTTTGTACGGAGATGGGAGGGGGCTTGGTGCACCTGGTCCTCTGCCTGGGATTCCCCACCTCACCCTGACACCCAAGCTAGGAGGGGAGAAAGACCTTCGAGGAACTGGCCTGGCCAAGGGCCTCTCCCCGGACTCTGTTCATCTTTGCAATCACCACAACCTCCGGGAGAGACAGATGCTGACGATTTGTAACAACAGCTCTCATTTATGGAGCCAGCCCTTTTCTAGCCCGTTTAGTTCTTGCAATTAGTGAGATACGACATCATTAGACCTCATTTACAGACTAGGAAACTAAGGCTCAGGGAGACTACCCTGTCCAAGGTCACAAGCCTAGTAAGTGGCAGAGCCACACTGGAGCCTAAGTCTGGCCTCCCGAGAGCCTAGCTCCCTTCCCCTCCCCGGTCCTGGCTCTAACTTGGGTCCTGTCCCCTGAGAGTCCCACAGTGATTATCCCTTGAGGCTGGGCACCCGCAGCCTGCACCCCGAAGAGCCACTTCCTCCGGATGTCCCTTCCTCCATGGTCCCCATGATCTCTGGGCAGGGTCTTTGCTGTCCTCTCCCTTCCTTCAATCAGGCTCCTGCTTCCAAGTTCATGGCCAGACCTGCCCTGCTGTTCTGCCCACCTGAGTGCCCGCGGCCTACTCGTAGCCAAGGCCACCAGACTCCCAGTACTTCCCCACCTGCAAGCAGGCTCCCAGCCTTTCTCAAGGGTCTGCAAACCACAGAGAGCAAGAGGGAGAGGGGTGTGATGGCACTGCTGTTCTTGATACAGAAGGGAAACAGGCCCGAGGTCAGATGACCTGTCTGAGAAGTGGTTGGCATGAGGTGGTCCCCTGAACTTTCGTCTGGGTCCTTGGGGGCTTCAGCATCTCCCCACCCGCTAGCCCGCTGAGTCCCATGAGTTGAAGGCTCTGATCCACAGGGGGTTGACCAGAGCTGGGTGAGGATGGGAGGCCAGGCTTGGCAATCACCCTGAGGCAGGTATCCTGTGACCTGAGGCCAACACCTACCAACTGTGATCTCAGTTTCCCCAAATGTAAAACAACTGGAGAGGCTGGGCACGGTGGCTCACACCTGTCATCCAAACACTTTGGATGGCCGAGGCAGGCGGATCACCTGAGGTCAGGAGTTCGAGAGCAGCCTGGCCAACAGGGTGAAACCCCGTCTCTACTAAAATGGCAAAATTAGCTGGGCATGGTGGCAGGTGTCTGTAATCCCAGCTACTCAGGAGGCTGAGGCAGGGAGAATTGCTTGAACCTGGGAGGCAGAGGTTGCAGTGAGCCGAGATGATGCCACTGCACTCCAGCCTGGGCGACAGAGCGAGACTCTGTCTCAAAAAAAAAAAAAAAAGATAAATAAAATAAATAACAGCCAGAGAGAGGCAGCCCTGTGCCCCACCCAGGGCAGAGAGGAAGGTCAGGGGGTAGTGACTGGTGGTGGACAGTAGGGTCTGGCACAGGGGAAACACGTCAGCAGCAGAGCCAGTAGTTGTAGGGGTAGGAGGAGATACAAGGAAGGTCCCAGTCCAGGGCCTAGGGGTGGCCTGGGCGCCTGCTGAGGGTTCTCTCCTGCAGGACAGCCACCGTGTGGAAGACCCTGTGCCCCTTCTGGGGTGAAGAGTACCAAGTGCACCTGCCGCCCACCTTCCACACTGTGGCTTTCTACGTCATGGATGAGGATGCCCTCAGGTGAGCACCCCCCTCTCCAGCTGGGACCCAGACCTGGCCATCTGATTGCTCCCTGGCCCATTTCACCGCCAGGACTCCTGGGTCTCCTTTTTGGCATCCTCTTTGCAGCCTGGAGGGAAGCGGAGCCTGGGGGCCTGGGAGGACGAAAGGCTTAATCCTGTGGGTGTGCACATGTGTGGCTCCATGCTGCACGCGCCATGTGTGCAGGCATGGGGGCGCAGGTGTGCATGGACTACACATGTGCGTGCAGGTGTGAGCTGTGAAATGGGCACCCAGAGAGCGTGAGCTTGGCATGTGCAGGCGTGTGATAGAAATGTCATAGAAACCTATCACATCCCCCTAGAAGGTCCAGAGCCCACAGCCTACAGAAGGGCCACAGGTCCATCTGGAAATGATGACAGTGTCCACCACTCTGCTCCCCCCCGGGGGTCCTGAACTTGGTGGGAGGTCCCAGAGGGCAGGTCCTGAAGCCCTACCCAGCTCTGACTCCATCTCCCTCCTCTAGCCGGGACGACGTTATCGGAAAGGTCTGCCTTCCAAGGGACACCCTGGCCTCTCACCCTAAGGGTAAGTTCTCCCTTTCCCTCCCGCACTGGTCTGCCCAGTCCCTGGCCTCCCTCTCACTCGGAGACCTCCCCTCTAGGCTCCATCTAGTCTCCAGCTCAGGGAAAGTCATTTCTACTCTCCCCAAAAGCCAGGGCCACGTTCTGTACTCCTGGCCTCTGTTCCTCAGCACGTCCCCAAACCTGGTTGTTACTGCGTCTTCCCTAGGGCAAAGAGGGGCTGCTATGGGTAGAATCTGAGGCCTCTGCTGGCAGAAGAAGGGGCCTCCTTACACTCCATTGCTGAAGCGTAGGGACCCTTTCTCCCAATGGAGCCAGCTCCTTCTGTAGCCCATGGGGTCGCCTCCACCTGGACCCTAGTACCACTGTGTCCTGAGTCTGAAGGGTTGGCCTGGAGCCAGTGCAGGCTGGAGATCCCTTTGAATTATTTATGGGATGCAGACATTGTTTGGTGTTATTGTTTTTAAAATTTTTATGTAGTTAAAAAAAAAAAAAAGAGGCCGGGCGCAGTGGCTCACACCTGTAATCCCAGCACTTTGGGAGGCCGAGGCAGGCGGATCACCTGAGGTCAGGAGTTTAAGATCAGCCTGGCCAACATGGTAAAACCCTGTCTCTACTAAAAATACAAAAAATTAGCTGGATGTGGTGGTGGGTGCCTGTAATCCCAGCTACTCGGGAAGCTGAGGCAGGAGAATCGCTTGAACCTGGGAGGCGGAGGTTGCAGTGAGTCAGGATCACCCCATTGCACTCCAACCTGGATGACAAAGCGAGACTCCATCTCCAAAAGAAACATGGGGATGGGGGCCGGGCATGGTGGCTCACACCTGTAATCCCAGTGGCAATTCACTTGAGGTTAGGAGTTCAAGACCAGCCTGGTCAACATGGTGAAACACTGTCTCTACTAAAAATATAAAAATAACCTGGGCATGGTGGCGCTCACCTGTAATACTAGGGAGACTGAGACAGGAA